ACTTATTTATCCCGAAGGAAATTGTTGTGCCAGAGTTACAAAAATACAATAAACACAGGAGCATAATAATGAAACTGTACTCTAACAGAGCAATTCAATAACTACAAGACACATAGACAGTCAAATCATTAATGTAAAAACAATACTGGTTGTTTTTTTAAATCTTATTTGACCTGCTCCTGTTCTTACTTTTACATTTACTATAGCTTTTTCTTTGGTAGTCCCAACTTATTTTCTCATATTCAAATGAACCCAGCTACAGGAGATGTACAGAAATGTTGGTGTGATCTGTATCTGATTTTCCCTTTACCTCCAAGTTGAATTGTGTAAATGTCCATTTTGCATTCTCCAACTCAAATGAACCCGTTACTGGAATAGTTCAATCAATGACTCGTTGTTTTTCTGACACTAGATGGTGCTAGACCTTTATTCTGATTGGCTAAGGCTAAGCAGCAGCCTCGCTCTCTGTCTTTTACTAAAACCCCTCCCTCTCTCCTCTCCCCTCCCTCTCGCAGGCCCAGCGGCAGCAACGCCTCCGCAGTGGACTGGGGCAAGATGGCGGAGCAGTGGCTGAAGGAGAAAGAGGCGGAGGGGCGGAAGAAGACCCCGAGGATGACGCCCCGCCCGTCCCCCAGCCCCATGATCGAGAGCACGCCCATGTCCATCGCCGGAGACGCCACACCCCTGCTGGACGAAATGGACCGATAGGACACGGAGGGGGGCGTCGCTACCACCCCCCCCCCCTGCCCAACTCCATTCTTTGTACTGCTTCTTCATCTGGATAACCCTCAAACTGTTCTCCACAACCCATCAGCCCTGTCCATTCATCAGTCACCTCTCCCCCTCCTCATATTGTAGATGTAGTTTGTAAAGTCTGCCATCATGGTTAATCTCAACTCCTTCCTCCCCCTCCCCCATCTCCTCCCAGATGTTCCCCTCCCGACCTCCAGCCGTCTCCTCTGGCTGCTTAGTATTCTGTACAGTCAGAGTAACACTGTATACGTTACTCATAAAGTCAGTACAATGGCAAAAAAAGAAACTTGAAATATCAGACAGCAGTTACACATAGGATATGGACCTACACAGACAATGTCACACAAGCTGCCCTACCTTCTTTACTTCAGCGATTGCTTTTAGTTTGATCTGAATGGTTTTGACAGAGGCGCACAGTCTCATCTTCAAAAACACACTTTTCCTCTATAAGTGGTTAGTGGATTTTTGCGAGCAGTTGCCAAAAGAGCGCTTTGCCAAGCCAATCAGGACATTTAATTTTTGTATGGAATGCATCACTATGAATAAAAACAGTTTTTTTCTGTTTGAATCTCAAGCCTCCGCTCTTCACATCTGTTAAAACAAACACACCTGTGACCACAAACACACACACACACTGCAAATGTGAGTGTTGAGGCTGATTTAAAAATCTAAATCGAGGTCAGCTGAGTTTATCTCAAACATGAAATACTGCTAGTTGTCTGTCTCCACCACATGCTGTATTCTGATCAACTGCCTATGTGTTTGGCTCCTGTACATAGCCTCTATTGTATTGTTGACTCCTATTGACACTAACAACATCCACCTTTGGAGGTAACAGTGGTTGTTGAGAGGACTTCTGTGAGAAAGTGAAGAAACAGTCATTTATTAAACAATTGATTTTTAGTAACAAGTGGAAGTCAGTATCATGTCCGTGTCAGAGCGTCATTTTTTTAAGTTGGCTCCAATTTGAATCCCTTGGGTTTTTAATGTTTAGTGAGTATTTCACGTTTGACACTGCGGTTTGAAGTGTGTCACCACGACGGATGTGATACATTTCTGCTTCCCATTCACTCCCAGCAGTAAAAGTGAAGATGCGTCAGTGGATGAAATGTCTCTCAGCGTATTGGCTACCATCGCACTGACTTGCCACTGGGTGTATATCTCTTTCTGTGCATAATACTCAGAAGTGCACGCAGCTATTTCAGTAAAAGGAATATTGTCGTTAACAAAAAAACATTGAATCTCTCGTGGTCGTCTTGCGCAAGTTTTTCTCTGCATCCTCTTGACTTATGCATTTTAATGTCTTCTTGCTGTGCCTCTGCCACAGTACAAACAGGCAGCGCTGGTATTCAATGGTGTGCTTCATATTGCTGTGTGCCGAGTATAAAGGTCCCAGAATATGCATTTTGTTTTAAGTAATTATGGTTTTCGAGTACTTGTTTTTTTACATCTCCCGCCAGATTAAGATACTGCATCTTTCTCAGCGAGGCTGTGATTGGTTCCTGGCGGTAGTTCATTAGAGAGGAGGAATGATGTCTTTGGCACTGCTGATGACCTTTTCTACCCGTGATCCCTTTAATAAAAGTGTTCATATTAAACCCTGAGTCTTGCCTATGCTACTTTCGGGAAAACACTTAGTCTGGTCATGTGATGTGTGCGTGGAAATGTGATTAGCTGGGAACAGAATGTGACACATTTTCCAAAACATTACCATTCGTTCGACTATTTAGCTTTTCTACTTCAAAAAGACAAAACGGTGATGGAACCAATTTATTTACAAGTCATAATCCATGAGCTGTAATTAAAGACTGTTTCCAGATAAGAACAAATGCAGTCTGAGCGAGCAAATCAATTAACTTCAGATGCAACTTCCTGTTTGCTTGAATTTATGAAAACAATCCCTCCATTTTCAAGATCATGAGAACCCTTGTCAGAGGAGAGAGATGCCTTGTGGGTATGACTGCGGTCATGTGTGCTGGCGCAGGCTTCACATTAGCAGCACAGACACATGACGGCGAGGAAACAAAGAAATGCACTCGAGTCTGGCGCTGACATTCTCTCCAAAAAACCTCCTCTCAGGCCATCTGAGAGCAACACAAATACATGTTTTAGTTGATATCTCATCACTTTATATACGGTCTGTTCATTATATCCACAGTGTGCATGGTGAGTCTATATTTCAGTCTGATTTCCCCCTCCTCTGTGCCGTCATGTGTTGCTGTGTGCTCAGTACAGTGTATCCAAGCGGCCATCTTCTGATCAGCAGCAGTTGGATTTCCTCTTGGTTGGTGTCCGATCGGCCTCTGTGCTGTCTGTGAGCCCTGGGAGGAACACACATTCAAATTAAACAATTGATTTGGCTTTAAAGGGAACAATGTGAGATACTGCATAAAGGGTTGGAATGATAGAGCTGTATAATACTGTACCAACAATGTATTCTAGAAACACAAAAGCCACACTAGTGCATTAGGAGCATTGGGATTTTCACTATATTTCTGATGAAGTAGGTCGCAAGATGATAAAAGGGATTAGAATGAAAGAATAGAAATGTCTTTCTCTTGACTTTGTTCCCTTTGATATGAAGGCACATTTCATTACGTTCCAGTAATAGCATGTGGAAAATCCATCTAAGCAAGCGATCTAAGAAGAAACATCCTTTTGTGGCTCAACTGCTGATAAGAGGGCACATGTAGTCATTTAATTACAAGCAGCACTCTCAGAAAGAACAGTCTTCACAAGTGAGCCTCTGTTTAGTCCGTGTGGTGCAAACGATACACATTCCTGTCGCTGTTCACGCTGTTCCACTCACTGACAGTGTGAGGAACAGGAGGGGAAAAGAAAACTGCTAGCAAGTGAACATGGATGTTGACGACGTAAAGTTTGAAATATTTCAGCTTTGCAGTAGCCTCAAATGTAATACTCAATTTGTAGAAATACTGTATGCGTGTGATTTTTTTCTACAAAACAAATAAAGCACCACAGAGTATTTGTAGATGGGGTAAGACATGGTTGGTTTTGTTTTTATCATAGATTTGTTGTCTTAACATCTAAGAGGCCCAGATGCGCCTGAAGCAATGCCGCGGAGTGCTCTGTCAGTAGGGCTTGCGTCGATGGTTCAAGTCCCCGAACAGACTTAAAATATGGAGTGTGGACTGCTACTTAGAGAGGTCCCAGTTCACCTCCTGGGCCCTGCCATGGTGCCCTTGAGCAAGGCACCGCACAACCCCCTCACTCCCCGGGCGCTGTACAATAGCTGCCCACTGCTCCTAGTACTAGACTCCTGGTACTAGGATGGGTTAAAAGCAGAGAACACATTTCACTGTGTGTGCTGTGTGCTCTGCATGTGTGACCATTAAAGAGGGTTTCATCCCTCCCAATTCTATTCTATAATGCTTAGGCGGGATTTTTTATTGGAGAACTAGTTGGTAATTGAATAAAATAAAAAGTTGTTAGTATGATGCTGGCTTATTAATAATGAGACTTGATTGAGTAAACTGACTTACTGATAATGTCACCGTCGCTTCTCGCACCACTTTTCTCGAGCCCAGACAACACGTTAGCCTCGAAAGTCAGAGAGGCTACACGGAAGAAGAAATTCATGACACCATCTCCTGAGACGATGAAGAGACGGGGAAAGAGTTTAGTGAGAGAGAAAGACAGAAAATGAAAGCATGAATGGATGGAGGGATGGAGGGGTGACAGATTATGGGATGTGTGACTGAATCCCACCTGACTTGGCAGACACAGCCCAGTACTCGGCTTTGATTTCGTCAGAGAATCTGATGGCTTCCTGCTCAATCTGAGACAACTGTTCAGGAGACTGAGGAGAGAGAGACAGAGAGGAGGCAATGTAACAGGGAACAATAGAATGAAGGCACTATAGAATCAGGTTGATACTCTGCTCAAAGTTACATATTCAGAGCTAAACTGATGAGTTGATTCGATGGTTAGTCAATCTACAGAAACGTATTTGGCTGATTTTGATAGTTGACAAAATGCCAAATCTTTACTTTAAATGATAGTAAAAATCACAGCAACCATTAAAATAACATTAAAACATACCATTAACACATCTTCAAATTTGTATTTCATTGTTGCCGTTTTTTGTTGTTGTTGACAATCCACTTATTAATTAACAGTCTTGTTTTTGGAATACTTGCACCCACACTGAGGTCCTTCTTGGTGCCGACAAGGAACAGTAAAACACTGGAGGGGTCATTTTCCTTCATGGCGTCCTCCAGCCACTGCCTGCACACACAAACACACACACATACACACTTGTGATTCAGCCTCAACTTGTATTTTAATGGTACAATTATTTGATCATTATTTCTTACCTGGCATGTGCTAAAGAGCTGACGCTGCTCAAGTCAAACACCACTATAATGGCTGGAGAGACAAACAGTAAAAACAATGAAAAGGTGTTTGTGTGTGAGAGAATATACACAATACTCTATCATGAGATCTGTAACAGTGTGCTGTTGAGCTTCATTCACCTTGTGCTCCTCTGTAATATGTTGAAGCGATGCATTTGAAGCGCTCCTGACCTGCTGTGTCCCACCTGAAATGGATCACATGCAGCTTTGATTGTGGTGTTGGGATATTAAGCAACAGGTGAGTCCTTCGCGTTGAGTTAAGAGTTATGAACAGGTTATAATGTCAAGGTCAAACTTGTGAGGTAGTTGTTTTGTGTCTGTTTTGTAGTGACATACTTACAGCTGTAGACTGAAGGGAACACCGAGCACCTCGAAGCGCTCCATCTCAAAATCCACCCCTATGGTTGCTTTGTAGTTCTTATCAAACGCACCCTTGCGAAACCTTAAAGGAGCGCAGAGTGAAAGAGAACCAACAATCATCAATGTCTTTTATTATTAATTATTTCTCCATTAAAAAAACGTTTTTGATTAATCATTTTGGTCTATAAATTGTCATAAATTATATGATTTCCTAAAGCAATACAAGGAACTTTTATCTAACAATAAAACTGTCTCAATTTGAAACTGATGCCTTGATAAAATCTACATTAGCAAACAAGAACATCAGCTATACAATTGGCTACTTCTACAACGTTTTATTTTCTAAAAGCTTGTCACTGGTTCAAATTTCTTCAAAAGGAAACAATTAACCACACACACAGACTGAAAGGGCCTTGGTTTATATTTTGATTGGCACATTTTTGTGGCAAGAACTACATAAGTAAAATGTAATCAAAAAATGTAAGTTTCTAAGTGTCTTTGTTTTAGCTGGCAGATTTCCAGCACTTCTATGATTAAGCAAAAAGGTAAAATAAGCTAAATGAGATCACTCATCTAAAACTTAGAAATGTAATTGGTCTATGAAATGATTTTTGTTTTTATCAAGAAGAGAACATCAACGTATAACTCAATTAGGGACAAGAGTTAAACGTTAGTAATAAACATTATGTGCCTCACATACATGTCATGCTCTGTTTTGGAACAACGTTAAATTGCATCAACTCTATCAAATCAGTTTTCATTTGTTTTTGTTGAAGACATTGTAATGATGCCCTTCAGCACTACTGAGGAGAGGCTTGAACAAGTAATGCTTTCATAATAAAAGTCAGATCACATTTCAATAAAAAATGTAATGCCACATAATCCTTTAATGGATCTTATTAGTCATGACTTCTTCTCACCTGCCGATCAGACACGTTTTCCCAACTGCAACATCTCCCACTACGATTACCTTGGCAAGATTAAAGCTGGCAACAGAAAGACAAAACAGTCATTCATGACCCCACAACAGCATTAAACACACAAGCCTCATCATCCCAATACCCCTCCTCGACTCCTCCTTTCCCTCACTCGCGTCCCTTCCTTGCATCTTAGCTCCGCCTCCGTAAGATATGCGAGCGAGAGACACGAGGAGGTGACGCGAGGACAGAGGAGTCCTCAGGTATTAATTGGGATATCCTCGTTCACTCAAACGTCACTCTTAAACGACGTCTGTTAATGATGACATGTGCACAGCTGTATCCCCTCTCATCGGGCTTAACTGAATAACCCCTTAGAACTGGCCCATTTCTGGTTAAATATTTATTTAAATGAATGAATCTTTCTCTTGTTAGTCAAGGAATTCAATGTATGATGCTGGTCCTGCTTTTGTGTTCCGTTTTGGTGTAAAATGTAGCCTACATTTAAATAAAAATATAATTATAGTAATGTGAAAGCCTTTTAGAAATGAATTGCACATAATAATTCTCACGGAGCTGTGAGCACTTATACATTTATGTGACGCTTTTCCACTCATCTTCCAGTTGTCGGTTTTCCTCAGTTGAAATGGACCAACTGTGAAGGTGGGGGCGGGGCTTTTATACGCGAGTGGTGAAAACACTTCCGCGTAGTCTGCTCGCGTGTATCCTCCCTTTCGTCTCCTCCNCTATCTTATCTTCTCTTGAATACACATTTTTATATTTCGATTGTCTGTTTCGCCGCCAAAGTGAGTAGAGGGGGAACAGGTGTGAGGGCTGACAAAAAAAAAACAGACAATCGAAATATAAAAATGTGTATTCAAGAGAAGATAAGATAGGACTTATTTATCCCGAAGGAAATTGTTGTGCCAGAGTTACAAAAATACAATAAACACAGGAGCATAATAATGAAACTGTACTCTAACAGAGCAATTCAATAACTACAAGACACATAGACGGTCAAATCATTAATGTAAAAACAACTTTATTTATTTATGTATTTGTTTATTCCACACATGGCAGTTATTGTTTAAAGAGTAAAAAACATGTACACTTATACTGGTTGTTTTTTTAAATCTTATTTTACCTGCTCCTTATCGGTAGTCCCAACTTATTTTCTCATATTCAAATGAACCCAGCTACAGGAGATGTACAGAAATGTTGGTGTGATCTGTATCTNTACTTTTATGTATGCACCACGACACCAAGTCAAATTCCTTGTAGTGTCAACCTACCTGGTACTAAACCCGTTTCTGATTCCCGCTCTCTATCCTCTGCAGGTGTTTGCTACCCCTCAGCAGCCCATAGCGACGCCCCTGATGACGCCCAGCTACTCGTACACCACCCCCAGCCAGCCTGCAGAGGATAGAGAGCGGGAATCAGAAACGGGTTTAGTACCAGGTAGGTTGACACTACAAGGAATTTGACTTGGTGTCGTGGTGCATACATAAAAGTAAAAAAAATAAAATAAATACACAGATAGCGAACTATTTTAAGAACACCACAAAAAAAAAAAATATATAGAGTAAAATATAAAATAATATAAAGCAGTAATTTACATTGAAATAGAATGCAATAAAATATGTGCAGTATGTGGGTTACAAATGTATTTTATTTATTTCAAGATTTTTTTAGGGAAACATGTAAATTCAGTTGAAGTTGCAAATTCTTTCTCAAACATGATATTGGTATTTAACTTGCTCATATTGATTTGAGTCAGGTAATTAGATGGAATACAAAATAAAGATAAAAAGAAGAAATGTTAATAATTTAGTTTTTGGTAGAAGGGATGGGATCAAATAAGTGTAAACTTCTTCCCACCCCTTTTCGGATTATGTAATTCGGTAGATCATTTGATTATATAGAATTTGTAAGTCAATTATATTTTTGTTTATCAATGTGACACTGCTTAAGTGTGTACAGTATCATAATAATCTTGTTTATTATTTGTATTATTGTTTTACACGTTCTTAATAAATCTTATCAATATTTAAAAAAAATTGTGTTTAACAGATGGTTTGGTGTTTTCTGAACTGTATTTTTACTAATTCTCCCTTAACCATAACAGCAAGTCCTTATGTATCCATATTTTGTATCATGTAGGCACCTAGGGTTTATAAAGGATTGAACAAGAGAAGAACTTTGTATTATCGTGTGAGCCTGAATACAATCCCTGAAACAGCTTGTCTGCTTCCACAGTAGTTGAATATGAGCAGCTGCACTCACATGGTACGCAGAGGAGCTCCCCCCTCCTCCCCCTGTGCTGCCACCGTATCCGTACTGGCTGGAGCCCCACTGAGCGGGGGTGGTGTTGGGGTTCTGGTTCTGGCCTGTAACCGCGGCGATGGCATTGAACATCTGAGAGGTCATGTTGCGTGGGAGGGAGTTGACAGCTCGCGTCAAGTCTAGGGAGAAGGGAATAAATGAGGAGATGGTTAAATGTCCTACAACTCCACTCATGCTGAATATCTGTGTGTGTGGAGAAGAGCGGGACTCACCTGCGATGTTGATATTTGCTGGGGTGGCGTTCAGGGACGCAGGAGTCCTTGTTCTGCTGCTGTTGCTGGGAGTGACGCCTTTGATGGAGAAGAAAACGTTAGATAGGAACCAACCACATCCTTTATTTGTGGTACAATAAACATTGGGAGGAGTGCTTCCATACCTGGCACAGGCTCTTGGTAATGGTCCTTAAACCAGCGGAATAACCCGTTCACTGTGGGGAAAACCTGTGAGCGGTACCGGAAGCCATCCGGGGTGATGGTCACATACTCAACCCTGGACAGGAGGAACAGATGTTGACCTTTAGTTCTCCTAGTATGGAAACCTTGTTGTTCATCAAAGTAGTATCTTTTTTTTTTTTTTTTTTAAATGTCGCACGCCATACTCCCTGCCTCACTTTCAACATCATGACATTTCAAAACGGCATTAAAGAATACACTGCTTGTTTCATCATCTTTTTCCAGAATTTTATATTTAGAGAACAAAATCAGATCATTAGTCTTTAAACACATTTTTCTTCATTTCTTTTATACTTATCCAAACCTTGAAAAAAAGTGCAAACTCTATATCTTTTCATACTTTTTAGGATCCCTTTATTACAGATTTAGATTAGAGCTTATGTAGTAGTTATGGACCTATCAGTTGAGACATTGAGATATCATTTACAATTTCTTTGACGTTATTGTCAGGTTATGCTGCTTTGAGAAAAAGGAAGCAACATCCAAAAAAAGTTATTAAAAAAAAAAATGGATAATGTTGAAATCAGTACAGCTTTTTTATTCAACATGTTCTACTCATGGCTTCATACAGGGTATCATCAGAAAACCTAAATATAGTATAATCTGCTCACCTTGGTTTTCCTCGAGGCTGGTAGCCCAGGATGAATTTCCCCGGGAGCTCTTTACATACCGATAGAAAGTATGGAATAAAAGTAGGCTTCTCCCTCTTCGTCTTGACCAACAACTCCTCCATTTTCTATTGGAGAGAGAGAAAAAGATAAAAGAAGATATAAGAGGTGCAACTTATGGCAATAACATGCAAAGTAAATGGAGTTGTTCGTGTTATGAACAGTTTAAATGATATAAAAATAAATCAGTATATAACTTACATCCTTGCTCCCCAATTCCTGAAAGTACTTATGCCCCAGGAGATCTCGGGCAAATGACGCCATTGGTTGAATGTACCGAGCACTGATTTCATCCAGATCTTCAAACTCCTGCAGAGAATGCAATATACTTTAAAAAACATGCAGCAACCACAACAACACATATGTCCCGCAGTGTATAAGGTTTGATTATGAAGCACAAGAGAAGGCTTAAAAAAAATGACTGGAGAAAAACTCTTACCTCAGAGTTGATCCAGAGAGTGTGTCCTAAGCTGAATGCGTTCTCTTTGCCTTCTTCCCTCACATCCACATGCTGGTAGATGCCATCAGCCACCTAAAAACACACATCACAGTCAGCCCGGGTCATGTGGTTTTCCGACACCTTTTTCTGTTCCTTCCTCTCCTACCTTCCAGGTAACCGTGAGGTGGTTCTCTCCCTTGCTGCTGGGTCTGATGATCAGGTCTCCTTGGTCCAGGGTCTCCATCATTTTCTCCGCCTGGTTGAAACTGATATTGTGGAAGTTGGGATGGGCGATCACACGCTTTATATATGCTGCAGAGGAAAAGAAAAATGGTATAAGGGCAGAGGTGTGGATGTAAATGTTGTTGGGTAAACAAGTTGTAATACGAGACAAAACAGCTAGCAAGAGTAGCACAACGCAGCGTGTCATTAGCCGTTTTGATTCAAACAACTTTGACTAATTCTGTTATTATACTCACGTGTTCGCTGCTGTTTCTTTTTGAGGTCCTCTTCCTGCTTTTGGTCTTCAGTCTCTTTGTCAAAGTCATAGTAGCTGTCCTTGGGAAGCTTCCACTCATTGGCCTTGTCCATCAGATCGGAGGTGCGGCATGTGAGGTCCACGCTGAATTTCTCAATGTCGATTTTCATGATGCGGCAGTGAACCGTCATACCCACCTAAGGGAGGAGAAGGGAAGGGGAGCCATTCAGTGTTATATATGTGCGACGATAGATGGAAACAAGACAGGAAGGACAGAAATAGCCAGGAACCAACTGATAACTATAGGCGCTTTCACACCGGAGTACTTTTCCCGTTTAGTTCCGATAGTTCCTGGGATTTTGCGCTCACACCAAAAAGAGAACTTAGTTCATGTGAACTTTCCCCCCTTTTTGGTCCAACTAGAGCGGATTGCAAACCACGGACCGTAAAACTCCGAAAAGTTTTAACTGGTGTGAAGCCGCCATTGTATTTGCTGGCATTAGCCCCGCGCACAAACGGAGAGACTAACTTATGGCAACACAAAAAAAACATGGGAGCGGTGGAGATGAGGAGGTGTAGGTGTTCTGGCTCGGAACGCTTCAGTAGAAGCTGCTGGGAGTCCCAGCAGCTTCTACTGAAGCCAGTCCCAACTCCGGGGACTTTGGGCCGGGGACTTCGGGTGGCAGTATATGCCGTGAAGTTGTTTGCGGCCTGCCAGTAAACCCAAAGCAGAAGAAGAAGAAGTGACTTCAGCTGCTTCATTTGCATAATCTTCCCTCAGGGACTTATTCCGGTGTGAACGCGACCGGCTCTTAGTTCCATGGGGGTACTAAGTGCTGGGAACTACGCCAAGGACTTGGTGAGAAAGCGGCTTATAAGCAATATATACATTTTCTTGGGGGGAATTTATTTAAAAGAATACGGAAATATAGTTTGAAGCATCAGCAAAGCACAACAAATAACAACAACGCCTCACCTTGACCCTCTCCTCGGGGTGTTTGACCGTTTTGTCACTGAGGAACTTTGTGGGAATGAACCCCTGGACGCCGTTATCTAATCTGGACCGCACCCCGATGGCCTGACCTGGACACGAACCGCTGTCAAAGTGATTCCAAACCTGAAGCGGGGACATAACAAGATGGTGTTTAGATGCCAGACTCTCAGCTGTTTGAACCATTAACTGCTCAAAAGAAGAAACACTCCTGTGCCTGGTACCTCGCTGAGTTCGGGGAAGTTGTCCTGCTGGCAGAAAGGACACTGCCACAGCCCGGTGGAGTCGTTTCTGATGGCCTGGTCGTAGCTCTCTCCCTGAGGCCGCCGGTGAGCGATACCAGTTACTATACTGGTGATCAGCTTACCTGAAAGAAAAAGAAGGCAAAACATCAACCACAGGCCGACGGAGCTGCTATTCTACAGCCACTGGTATCATAGCAACATCACTCCTTTTATAAAAGTCCTGTGTTAGGCACTGAGTGTTTATAGTTAGGAATATAATGTCTTTTTCATCTTTGGTGACATTTCCTTCATGATATAAATGGCTTTCAGTGTGGTGTGTATTACCAATATAAAAGGTCTCTGGGGTGTCCTTGGTGAGCAGGTTGAAGACCTCCTCGGTGTTGGGGACCCTGTAGGCGACTCTCAGATCCTTGTACCTGCAGCTCAGCTCTGCACGGATATCATACAGAGTAATGCCCTTGTTGCCATAACCCTACAGGGGGAAAAACAAAGAAAAAAGAATGATGTCATATATCTTTGTAGGTGAAAGGCATACATAGTGATTACATGTATACAGCTGTTATTATTTATTTGTGTGAAGCTTTCATCTTGTTTCTTTTCTATTTATAACTTAATATTGACGGGGTAAAAGCCACACTGACCTGTCTCTCAAGCTCTTCGGCGAAGGCGTCCAGGTCCAGATCTTTCAGACGTTCTGGGTTTTCCAAGATCTCCTCCAGAGCTCCGGCTGGGTTGGCATCTTCTGCCGATTCATCGTACTCGAGAGCGTCCACGGCCATCTTACGAGCCCACTCGTACGTCTCAGGGTGAACACGAGACCCATCCAGGACCTCGATGTAGGAGTCCGTACTGTGGAAGGTTTGATATAAGAAATTATTTAGAACAACCTCACAACGGGGCTCATAGGTAGATCATTCACAGCCTTTCCTGAGATCAGTATAATAATCTCAGTGAAAGACTCCTGAAAAAGAAGCCAACCTGTCTCCGAGCGACGCCGTGTCGATCTTGATGAAACCAGCACAGTTGATGAACACCTTGGGTCCCATGTGACTCATCGTGACCAGCTGGGTTCGGTTTTCCAGACGAGTGTTGTTCTGCTTCAGAATCTGCAGAGATACAAGGACCATGAGGATGATCAGGTTAGTGGAAACGGCGCTGTACATTAATATACGACACAATGAATGAGAGCATCACAAAGATGTACCTTCAGCAGCTGGGAGCCCTTCCTCGGCCCCAGACCACAGACAAACTGCACCAGGCTCTGGGTGTGAGGGTGGGCGATGCACTTGTTCACATCCACTCCGACCTCATTCACACGGTTAATGAATTCAAAGTAAAGAGCACAGAGCAGATCTTCCTTCACCACTTGTTCCTGAGAAGCAAAGACGGAAAAAGACAGTTTCAGAAAGTGGCTTTGTAAGTAGTTTGGAGAATGGGTAGTAGTTCAGGAAGTACTCATATATTTGACTTTAGTAAAAACACACAGTGTAGAGATACTGTTTAAAGGAAGTCGTGCATTATAGTAGTATAAGAGCCAGTATAATCATTTAAACACACAAAATGTTCTCATTGGCAATTTCAGAATAATATTATGTTATATTATTGTATTATAATTATTTATGCTTTAATGTGTTCATCACTTTATCTTGGCAGCAGGTCAAAGTTCCAGGTAGCTTGCTCAGTAGTACAACTTTTGATCTTAACCTATCATATGTAACGATACCAAAAACTCACGGTACGATAATATCGCGATAAAAAGTCCACAGTACGATATTTATCGCGATATTGAAAAATAAAAGGAAAAAGATGTGCATTTTTTTTAAAACATTTTTTAAATTTCTTTATTAAATAATAAATCTGATTTGTACAGCATTTTAGTAGGATAGTAGTATTTTAAAGTGTCAACAATATAATAATCAGACCCTGCAATAGAATAAATCAAGTTTCACTTTAGTTTTTCAAGTAACTCAACTCAAACTCACAAACTCACTCACTCACTCACTCACTCACTCACTCACTCACTCAGCATCATCAAGGTTATCTTTTAGGAATATGAGCATGTCCACATTTCCAGGTAGAAGCTGGGATGTTTGGGCGTTTACAATATCCCCTGCTGTGGAAAAAACTCTCTTGCTTGGTACTGATGTTGCTGGGACAGAGAGATATGCTTTGGGCAGTGGGTAAAACTGTGCATTGTCTCTCCACCGCTTCAA